GATATGTGTAGTTGGTAGTTGTCTTTTATAAACCCTTTTCAGAATCTTTTTTATCCAGGCAATTCTACAATTTTTGGGTGGGGGTGCCATATGGAACTCTTTCCCATGGGTTAATAATTCTGAGAGTCGGGTTTTAAAATCCATGGCAAACAGAGCACAGATAGCTCATTGTGCAGCTTTGTGTTTACCCAAAACACAAACAAATGCACTGCTAAAATGTTACCTTGTCATCATGGTCATCTACATTGACACTAGCTGACTAGGTGACATTTTTACTGGTGGGAGAATCCCAATTTGTTTCTTTTCACAATTAATGATTTTTACAGCAAAGATTTGTATATAATGTAATATAGTGGCTACAAATATTATAAAATGTCATTATCATTAATTAATTAAATGTACTGAACTGTTAAAAACTTAATTGAAGATCTCTTACTAGGTTTATTATTTCAGCAATTTTCAGCTTCCAGTCCAAAATATTGCCTCATCATTTTTCTGTTATTGCATTTTTATGAGCTTTCACTTTGTAACTATCCATTAATATGATAATACTCTTATTCTTCAATAGTATAGTTTGATAATAATTGTGCCAAAGCAGTTAAACACTGTATTATTGTAATAGTTCTCATATTTTGGATGTTGCAAGTGAAATACAGTATGATTATTGAAGAAATAATTGTATCAAAGGAAATTTTGACAACTCATTATAGGGAAGAATAGAAAATTAAATCTGTTTGGTTCCAAGTTGCAATATGTATTCAATAAACACATACTATGAAAGACCATATTAATCCCAAATAAAATTGTGTGAGTGAATGCTTGGTAGTATCAAGAGACTTAAGCTTATGACATAGGCTAAACAAAAAGTATTTCCTAGTTAAAATGTCACTTAATAAAAGATTTTTTATAAAAAAAATGCATATTTATCATCTAGGTTCCTTTTTAATGTATTATGTTAATTTTAAGGGTTTTGTTAGACTGATGGATAATATAAGAAAGACAAGTTCAAATTGTTATATAATTTAAATTATGGCTAAACTTAAAAGTAATGGCAATAGATTTATTTTTAATTAAATTCAATGACGAGGAACCCACTTTGAGACTAATAATGGCTGGAGGCGGCGTGAATGGGTAATGAAGAAAAACTTTAATATAAGTGTCTAGATACCTCTTCTAAGTTTCACAACAGTTCCGGTCATGTGACTTCTTTGTTCAATAC